TTTCCCCATACTTCCTGCTATGACTACGGAATTAGGGTCCGATGGCCCTCCATCGAAGTGAAAGGGATTTCTCCACTGACTTCAGTGGGAGCAGGAATGTATTTACTCAAAACGCTGGAAAATGCGATCAGGTTAGGGTTTAACATGAGATACACACATGTAAGGAACCGTGTATTTTCAACATGCTATCACCGATTAAATAGAGCCTAGAAACACAGGAGATGATTCATCCGAAGACGGTGAAGTCATTGTTAGGCTCTGTCATGACAGAAATAGTCTGAAAAGCTGAGCAACTGCAATTGTGACTATCCCAGTACTGAATCGTTCTCTGCCTGAGCTCATGGCTGCTTTGTCCCACCATCAGACACCACATATTGGAAGACGGGAGAGAGAATTTTCTCCATTCATTAGCACTTTCCTTTTAAGACAGTTGTTAAATGATTGACATCTGATGGAACAGAAAAAACTATCAAACTATTAAGTTGCCAACATATTTCTAAATTCTGTTAATTTTCCTAAAGGTAATGGAAGCTCCAAACTCAGGGGCGCCATTTCAGATTTTGGTTGGGGGGAGGGGATTTTAACGGTGATTCCAGGGGCTACTTAGGCACCTGAAAACTCCAGTTTTTTGGCAGATAGGAGCACTGTATCTTATTCCTATACAAAAGAAAGAAAAATACATATTAGACCCACTCAGCTCTAATACTAACATGATCTGACATCTTGTGGAAAGTAACTTAAGGGATCTGGGGCAAAAATTGGGGATTGGTCCTGCTTTGAGCAGGGGGTTGGACTAGATGACCTCCTGAGGTCCCTTCCAACCCTGATATTCTGTGATTCTATGACCTGGTTAGGTTTAAAATGTTTAATGTGGATTTTTAAGAGCAGGTTGGACAAACACCTGTCAGGGATGGTCCAGATAATACTTAGTCCTGCCTTGAGTGCAGGGGACTGGACAAGATGACCTCTCGAGGTCCCTTCCAGTTCTACGATTTTATGATTCTTTATTATGATCATCTTTAAAATTCGCTTGGATCTGAAAGCAAAGCTGTTGTTTGAGACGTTAGGTGGCGCTGTTACCAAAGGTGGCGCCGAAAGAGCGCTACGGAGTAAGGGTATCAAGACGGTGTTAGGAAGAATCGCCATGACAGGGAGCATCCCCGGGATAAAAGACGAATTGTCCTTCTCTGAAGAAAGATAATTAGGTTTCTATCTAAAACCGAATTGTTTTACCCCGCAGATATACTGTAAATCAAACTATTGCTCAGGTACCGCAGGACCTATTTTTAGGTATCAGAGCTGCTGTATGGAAAGCGCTGTGTCTTAGATCTGACTCAGGAGTGGCTGGCAGGATGGGGAACCACATCAGAAAAAGGCAACTTCTGTCTTTCTTTCTGTATCTTTGCTCGTCCGGAGCGCTGTGTGAGGCGATCCGCTATTCCGTGCCTGAAGAACAGGACATCAGGTCCGTAGTTGCTAACGTTGCAAAGGATTTGGAATTGGATGTAGGGAAACTGCTCGCAGGGCCCGGTTGATTTCACAAAGTAGCAAAAAGTATTGTCAACTCATCACCGGCTGGGAAATGATAATAAAGGAGAAAACAGACGGTGAGCATCTGTGCGGACAGACTGGCATGTGTTTACTGCAGTTCGAAGTTGTATTGGAAAATCCAATGCAGTTGCATCGCTTTGAGGTGCAGGTAGAGGATATGAAAGAAAGAATTTATGTTCGAAATTCCAGAACTGACCCAGAAAAACACCCGCTTTCCCCTAGAAAACAAATGCCATCCAGAACTACACGATCAGCCCCAATGAACATTTCCGGCTGGATGTGCAAGCTAGGGGAGACAGTAGTAAATATGCTGAACTGGTATTAGAAAAAACATTAGATCGGGAGGAGCAGCCAGAATTTAATTTGCTTCTCACAGCTTCTGACTGCGGGGAGGGGGGGCGTTCACCAGAGGACTGGCACAGCTCACATACGAGTTATTGTTCTGGGTATCAGTGATAACACCCCTGGCTTTAGTCAGTTCCTGTACAAAGTACGATCTTTGTATGATCTTCTCCTTTATTCTCCGAAGAAGGAAATATTTTAAAAGGCCAACATTTGAGTTGTCATCGGGTATCTGTACGCTAACTCTTCACTGAGATGAATGGGGCAGTTCACAACACTCTCACATCTATTTTTTCAGCTTCTCTTCAGACTTGCATGGACATCTCTGTATCTGTTACACTGAGTTCATACATTTTAGGTTTTCTTTGAAACTATAACTGCTAGAGATTTGCTGATTCTTAAAGGAAATCTGAGATTCTGAAGAACAAGATAGCAGCCTGAGAAAGATACCGCTATGCTTTGATGCTACGTATGGGTCCCATCCCAACTTTGTAATGAATGGGGAAGTGATTATTTGTTCTAGAGCCATTTCAAGGGATCTCCCTGATGGATAGGCTGCTTCTGCCGTATCAGTCGAGGTATTGCAAAGCAGACACAAATACTAACCCCCGCAAATGCAGAGCCGTGGGCCTGGCTTAAGAAGTGTATAACTATCTACCCCGAATTGAATTTAGATTCTAGGAAAATATAGAAAATATTTAGATAAAGGAAAACTGTCCACAGGATAAAGTAGTGATTTCAGATAAAATCCCTAACTAATATTAAGAGTTTAGATCTAAGCATGTAATTTTTTTAAAAATGAGTCGTTCAAATACATAATGGAACGCATTTGGCATCGTACAGGTCAATATCTGGGAATGGCTAAGGGAAGTTTCTTAGGCGTATTGGACCAAATTTATTCCGGCTGTAACGTCATTGAGGTCAATGGAGTTATACAAGGGATAAATCTATAACGAAAACAAAAAGTGTATATTTTATTTGCTTCATTTACCCCTCCCACTTGAAATCAATATGGCGGAGAAAGTACCTCAAAGAGAAACGTTCAAATTAATCGCTTTTTACAATAAATCATGCAGAAATCGAGCCTCTGGTTAATCTTTTTAATATCATAAGGCTACTCATAATTACTTGTTTCGAATTGGACATTATTCTATTTCAGTTTTCATTAAATATTTTATTGCGGTTATGTTTGCAAAAGGTTTTGACGATATGAAATGTATAAACCGTTTTACATTGAAAAATATCTTAGTAATTTTTAAAAAGAAAAGGAGTACTTGTGGCACCTTAGAGACTAACCAATTTATTTGAGCATGAGCTTTCGTGAGCTACAGCTCACTTCATCAGATGCATGCCGTGGAAACTGCAGCAGACTTTATATATACATAGAGAATATGAAACAATACCTCCTCCCACCCCACTGTCCTGCTGGTAACAGCTTATCTAAAGTGATCAACAGGTGGGCCATTTCCAGCACAAATCCAGGTTTTCTCACCCTCCACCCCCCCACACAAATTCACTCTCCTGCTGGTGCTAGCCCATCCAAAGTGACAACTGTTTACATAATCAAGTCGGGCTATTTCCTGCATAAATCCAGGTTTTCTCACATCCCCCCCCCCACCCCCCTACACACACAAACTCACTCTCCTGCTGGTAATAGCTCATCTAAACTGACCACTCTCCAAGTTTAAATCCAAGTTAAACCAGAACATCTGGGGGGGGGGGGGGTAGGAAAAACAAGAGGAAACAGGCTACCTTGCATAATGACTTAGCCACTCCCAGTCTCTATTTAAGCCTAAATTAATAGTATCCAATTTGCAAATGAATTCCAATTCAGCAGTTTCTCGCTGGAGTCTGGATTTGAAGTTTTTTTGTTTTAAGATAGCGACCTTCATGTCTGTGATTGCGTGACCAGAGAGATTGAAGTGTTCTCCGACTGGTTTATGAATGTTATAATTCTTGACATCTGATTTGTGTCCATTTATTCTTTTACGTAGAGACTGTCCAGTTTGACCAATGTACATGGCAGAGGGGCATTGCTGGCACATGATGGCATATATCACATTGGTGGATGTGCAGGTGAACGAGCCTCTGATAGTGTGGCTGATGTTATTAGGCCCTGTGATGGTGTCCCCTGAATAGATATGTGGGCACAATTGGCAACGGGCTTTGTTGCAAGGATAAGTTCCTGGGTTAGTGGTTCTGTTGTGTGGTATGTGGTTGTTGGTGAGTATTTGCTTCAGGTTGCGGGGCTGTCTGTAGGCAAGGACTGGCCTGTCTCCCAAGACTTGTGAGAGTGTTGGGTCATCCTTTAGGATAGGTTGTAGATCCTTAATAATGCGTTGGAGGGGTTTTAGTTGGGGGCTGAAGGTGACCGCTAGTGGTGTTCTGTTATTTTCTTTGTTAGGCCTGTCCTGTAGTAGGTAACTTCTGGGAACTCTTCTGGCTCTATCAATCTGTTTCTTTACTTCTGCAGGTGGGTATTGTAGTTGTAAGAAAGCTTGACAGAGATCTTGTAGGTGTTTGTCTCTGTCTGAGGGGTTGGAGCAAATGCGGTTGTATCGCAGAGCTTGGCTGTAGAGGATGGATCCTGTGGTGTGGTCAGGGTGAAAGCTGGAGGCATGCAGGTAGGAATAGCGGTCAGTAGGTTTCCGGTATAGGGTGGTGTTTATGTGGCCATTGTTTATTAGCACTGTAGTGCCCAGGAAGTGGATCTCTTGTGTGGACTGGACCAGGCTGAGGTTGGTGGTGGGATGGAAATTGTTGAAATCATCAGTGGGGTGGGAGGAGGTATTGTTTCATATTCTCTATGTATATATAAAGTCTGCTGCAGTTTCCAGGGTATGCATCTGATGAAGTGAGCTGTAGCTCAGGAAAGCTCATGCTCAAATAAATTGGTTAGTCTCTAAGGCGCCACAAGTACTCCTTTTCTTTTTGCGAATACAGACTAACATGGCTGTTCCTCTGAAACCTGTCATTAGTAATTTTTAATGCAGACGCTTGGTGCCGCTGCTCACCACAAAGGCGAAGAAAAAACTGAGGCTCCAGACGATTCCATTACTCGCCGAGCAAGCGTCCCTCTGCCAAGCAGGGAAGTAGACCACAATAATGCGTAGCCCGGAATGTGAACTGCACTGTTCTGAAAGATCTTCAGGTGGAGCCGGGTTTTGGCAAAGATTCTTGCCCGTAAGCGCGACTAAGGGACGCTGACATATATTTAAAGAGAGAACAGGTATCTGTAGAAGAGATTCGGATACAAGGAAACGTGAGGATGAGAAATAGTGAGGAAGGCCTGACAAGGCAGGTTCTGTCTCTGATCCTTTTTCTCTGTGTGCCGGAGGTGAGAACTGAAACGCTTCGCTATGCTGTGACTGAAGAAACCGGAAGCGGGTCGTTCGTGGCGAATATTGCAAAGGATTTGGGGCTGGAAGCCGAAAAACTGTCCGCTCGGCAGGCCCGGATTATTTTTGAAGGGGAAAAACAGTATTTTCAGCTAGACCGCAGCACTGGGGATTTGTTTATACAAGAAAAAATAGATCGAGAGGAGCTCTGCGGGCAGATCGACCCCTGCCTGGTGGATTTTGAGATATCGCTGCAGAGTCCGCTACAGTCCTACGGAGCTGAAGTAGGCGTTTATGATATCAATGATCATTCCCCAGTGTTCTTAAATAATGGATTTATTCTAAAGATCTCGGAAAGTACTATGCCTGGAAATCGGTTTTTTACTGGAGAGTGCCCAGGATTTAGATGTGAGCAACAACAGTCTCCAGCATTACAGCATTAGCTCTAATGACTATATTCAGATTTATACTCGGGATCGCAGTGACGGCAGAAAGTACGCAGAGCTGGTGCTGGATAAACCCCTGGACCGGGAGAAGTCGGAGATTAGTTTCACACTCACAGCTATCGATGGTGGTTCCCCACCGCGGTCGGGTACAGCCCGAATTGGAGTTATGGTTCTGGATATAAACGACAATAATCCGGTATTTTCTCGGCTTCTTTATAAAGTCCAGATTTTGGAAAATAGACCTGAAGATTATTTGTTAGCTACAGTCTCTGCTACCGATTTAGACGAAGGAATTAATGGGGAAATATCCTATTCTATTATTCAAAATTCAGAGGAAAATCGCCAAACTTTTAAAATAAATCCCCTCACCGGGGAAATTCGACTCAAGCAGCCACTAGATTTTGAAGACAGAGAAAACTATGAGATAGACATACAGGGCATAGATGGCAGGGGTCTGTCTGCACACTGCAAAGTCCTGGTGGAATTGCTGGATATGAATGACAATGCTCCGGAGGTGACCATAACATCCCTCACCAGCCCTATCCCCGAGAACTCCCAGCCGGCGAGAGTGATGGCTCTGTTCAGTGTCAGGGACCGGGACTCCGGCGATAATGGGAAAACGGTCTGCTCCATAGAAGACTAGCTGCCTTTTACTGTCAGAAAAGTATCAAAAACTTCCTTCTCTCTGGTGACTGAAAGCTCACTGGATCGTGAGAGACTGTCGGAGTACAACATAACAATCACTGCTCAAGATTTGGGATCTCCCAGTCTCGCTACTGCTGTGACAATCACAGTGGAAATATCAGATATTAATGACAATTCTCCCATGTTTAATGAAGCGTCATATACTATGTATACAAGAGAAAACAACGGGCCAGGGATAAAGATTGGTAAAGTCAGTGCTATCGATTCTGACTCAGAGCAGAATGCCAAAGTGACATATTCTCTATTGCCTGCTGAGGTAGGTGGCCTTCCGCTTCTCTCTTATATCTCCATAAACTCGGAAAATGGGAATGTGTACGCTCTGAGATCCATGGATTATGAACAGATAAGAGAGTTCCAGGTCACAGTGAGAGCTGCAGATGGCGGGTCCCCTCCACTGAGTTCTGAAGTCATTATTCGAATTGTGATAATTGATGAAAATGACAACGCGCCCTTCATTTTATACCCTCTGCAGAACAGCAGCTCCCCCGCTAATGACCTGGTTCCCAGATCGGCGGAGGCGGGTTACCTGGTGACGAAGGTGGTGGCTGTGGATGGGGATTTCGGTCAGAATTCTTGGCTTTCCTACCAGCTGCTCAAGGCCACAGACCCAAGTCTCTTCACTGTGGTTCCCAAAATGGTAAAATAAGGACCACTAGGCCATTAAATGAACGAGACAGCTTCAAGCAGAAACTTCTTATCCTGACTAAAGATAACGGAGAACCATCCCTATCAACCACAGCGACGCTAAATTTTCTTGTGGTGGATGGATTTTCAGACACATATATGCAGATTTTTGAGATACCCAACGAAGAAGAGAAGGACAGCACAATGACTACGTATTTAGTGATAGCGTTGGCTATGCTTTCATTCATTTTTTATATTTTCGAAAATATTATTTGTAATTATTAAGGGATGTAAAAGGCGAAATTTTAGTGAAAAATATAACTCGGCTTGTGACAATTTTTATGGCGCTAACGGCTCCCCCAGTAATTTAGTAGATGCCAGTGGAACCGGAATCCTATCCCAGCCTTGTCATTATGAAGTCTGTTTGACCAACGGATCGAGTAACAGCGAGTTTAAGTTTCTCAGACCAATAAACCCTAGTTTTCTTTCTCAGAATTCTGAAATAGACAAGGTCAGAGACAATGATTTTCTTAATAGTTCCCATGTGGGTAGTCAGATAGAATCAATGAGTCAGGACAGCATATCTGCTTGTGTTGATTAATATTTAATTTTCCAAACTTGCTTTGATGCTTGTTAGTAAGAGTTTAACAGAATTTTAAACAATTTGAGTGTACATAGTAATAATGTAGCCATATGTATCCCTACTATTCAATCTTCAGGCCCTTGCCTTGTGCTTTAATTATGAATATTCCTCTTCTCATAGAAATCCATTGATGATAATGATGGATAGCGATGTCCTTGTGTGTACAGATATTGTTTTAGATTACTGATTTTTGGTTAAATTTTCGAGAGCGACAGAAATGCCTAAGTATCAAAGGGGTAGCCGTGTTAGTCTGGATCTGTAAAAGCTGCAAAGAGTCCTGTGGCATCTTATAGACTAACAGACATATTGGAGCATAAGCTTTCCTGGGTGAATACCCACTTCGTCCGATGCACGAAGTGGGATTCACCCAGGAAAGCTTATGCTCCAATACGTCTGTTAGTCTACAAGGTGCCACAAGACTCTTTGCCAGAAATGCCTAAATCACTTTTGAAAATGGAACTTCGTCCTAAATCACTTAGTCACTTTTGAAAATTTTACCCTTTGTTGCGAAACTGTAGTATTGTGTGGGATGAAGAACATGTAACTCTCTCAGCTCCACTGAAATCTCAATAAAATTATCCCACTTTGAACTCTGCTTGATCAGGTTCATGAAATATAGTTAGGAGGTCACTTAGTTCCATGAATTAACATGTAATGCAACATACGTGTAAAATTTTGTCACGTAGAAAAATTTGAGGCAAAATCCCGACTGATTTCTTTTAGGACTGGAATGTAGGGATCGCTATTAGCTGGAAAGACTTGAAGTGCCATTGCTTAGCTTATCCGCCGGCATTGTGGAAGTCATGGAACAACACTGTTCATAGAAAAGGAGTGGCACCTTAGAGACTAACCAATTTATTTGAGCATAAGCTTTCCTGAGCTACAGCTCACTTCATCGGATGCTGTAGCTCACGAAAGCTTATGCTCAAATAAATTGGTTAGTCTCTAAGGTGCCACAAGTACTCCTTTTTGCGAATACAGACTAACACGGCTGTTACTCTGAAAACTGTTATATATAGAGTACCTCAGATATAGAATGTATCGTATATATCTGGAGCAAAATTTTCCAGATGGGGCCTAAACACAGGCAAGCAAATGTATATTTAGGCACCCGAGTAAAAGTAGCCTTTTTCTTCTGGGCTTCCATTTTCTTCAATGGGAGTTGTAGGAACCTGTAACTTGGAAAGTTAGACCACACCTCTAAGGTTTAAACACTGATTTTGCAGACCGTTACCCTCGCCTTTAATTTCTCCATTGACGGTTGAGCTCACAACCACATTTGGAAACCCTTACAAATTTCCTCATATTATTTCGGTTAAAAACAAATCTGACCTTTAACATATGTTCTTCGATATGGGTCATACCCCTAACATGTCTATAGTCACACCAGAGGTATGACCCTTTCCAGGCTTAGCTGTGGTCTTCACAATTATTCACTTTTTACATGGTTCACCAAACCCTGTGGGAGACTTATCCTCCAGATGTTTCTGGCTAATATCATGGTCACTGTCCACCGGCATTTTTAGCACTGAAATGATGGCATATCATCCCAAGAGTCATATCTTGTGTGTGTGTTCATCTCTTGGTTAAACTTTGTAGTTGGTTACATCATTATTCACTCAAATTAACCGTCTCTGTGTTAAATTAGCACATATCAGGAATAAGATTAAGCGATTTGAAGTGAAATAGCTGGAGTGTATTGTGACTGCATGTTCTGTTCCCTAAACTCAATAAAATCTATATTTGCCCTGCTTCAAGTTAATAAGACCACTACTTCTCGCTCGCTGTTTGTTGCTTAATTATGCGGATGCTTCTACACGATATTTTTAGGGAATTATACATAGTTACCACTACTTCCCTGTTTTTTATTTTCTCTTTGCTCTGGACCTTTCTTGTTGGGGCTGCCGTTCCAACCTGTGTTCATTTTGTGCTTTCCTTTGAACGCTCCAATTGATGTTTAATAAAAACAAAACAAAACACAAAACCCCCCACAATGACCAAAAATGGATATCTGAAGTCTAAGCAGGGCTGAAAACCCTTACGGATGAAAATCCCGTGAATACTAACAGTATGGCACTTGCTCTATGTGAGTTCACATTATAAAGATGTGGACTGAGACTAAAGTTAATTCCTACTCTAACCAGATAGTTTTCGCTACGATGGCTAAGATCATCCCATTTAATACTCTAATTAGATTGTTCTTCTTACCATAACCACCTTATATTTATTTTTGCTTAATACCCAATTATTGATTTTTCTCCAGTTTATGAAGTTGTACTATGTACTCCAAAGTAGATAGGATTATGCTTAGTTGTATATTATTCACACATTTTAAAAAAATTTTATTTACTCTTCACTTTTTCCTCCACGTCTTTCTTGAATACTATCAGAACCAGAATGCACTATGTGTAGCTCACTCAAGGAGTACTCCTAGCCTGATAGTGAGCTATAAATAATTCTCTTGTGTATTCGATTATTTAAAGCGAGTCGTGACTCCCGATGGGCCACATACCCGTAGTTTATCTATAGGAATATGGAGTGGAACTCTATTAGGCACCAGATTCAATAGACTGACCATAGTGCATTAACCTGATCCTGCTACCCTGACTTCACACGACCATTCCTTCCATGGACTTTAAAGGGCCTGGTGGAGGCAGTTTGAGGACCCAGAGCACATGTGGATGTCATTGCTCAGCAGCACTGCGTCATTCACACAAGAAAGTGCACAATGAGATAAATGCTTCTTCAGTGGTGGCAGAGTATCACATTGTTTTCACTGAGTGTATTAGACGTTCTAATAATAATGCTGTAATCCGATAAATGTATGACGGGGGGGGGGAATTTAGGCAACAAAAACAAAGTCATTTTAATTAAAGCATTTGTTCTGGTCTTTATAGTACCAAATGGTGACATATGTAGGAAATGGGGGACAGTAAAATGATTACTATAACTTCAGAAACTCATTTATTAAAATCATGTCAAGTGATGCCACTCAGAAAGGTTCAAATAATAATAATTGTATCTCCCTTCTTGGAATTTCATTTGAAATCAGTTGGAATACTAGAATCGTAGACATATAGGACTAGAAGCGACCTTGAAAAATCATGAAGGCCAACCCCCTGCACTGTGGCAGGACCAAGTAAACCTAGATCTAGACCAGGGGTGGGCAAACTTTTGCCACATCGGGGGAATAGCAATTGTATGGAGGGCCATGAATGCTTACAAAATTGGGGTTGGGGTGCGGGGGGGGGTGTGGGATCTGGGGTGGGGCTGCGGTTTAGGAGTTTGGGGTGTAGAAGAGTGCTCTGGGCTGGGACCCAGGGGTTCAGAGCGTGGGAGGGGGATCAGGGGTGAGGCAAGGGTGCGGGAAGAGGTTCAGCTTCTGGCTGGGGGTAGGAGCTCTGGGATGGGGCTGTGGATGAGGTGTTTGGGGTGCAGGAGGGTGCTCTGGCCTGGGATCGAGGGGTTTGGAGAGCGGGAGGGGGATCAGTGCTGGGGCAGGGGGTTGGGGCATGAGGAGAGGCTCAGGGGTGTGGCCTCCAATCCAGTGCCCCCTGGAGTGGGGCTGAGCCATGGATCCAGCGCCATGGCGGAGCAGGCCACACCACACAGCTCGGCCCCTGACCCAGCTGGAGCACCTGAGCGGGACCGAGCCGGCTGGTGCGGCCCCCAACCCAGCTTCCCAGCCAGAGCACCGGAGTAGGGCCAAGCTGCATGGTGCAGCTCTAACCCGACCCTGTGCCCCGGACAGAGCGGGGTCGCACCAGGCAGCTCGGCCCCGGACCCAGCTTCACGGATGGAATGCCGGAGTGGGGCCGAGCTGCGTAGTGTGGCCCCGACCAAGCACCCCGGTCAGAGTGGGGATGAGCCACTTTTGGTGTGGCTTGGGCCAGCTTAAAAGGGCTTGCAGGCCGGATCCAGCCCATGGGCCATAATTTGCCCATCTCTGACCTAGACCATTCCTGATGAGTGTTTGTCCATCCTCTTCTTAAAAACCTCCAGTGACAGTATTCTACAACCTCCCTTGGAAGTCTGTCCAGGAGCATAACTACCCTTGTAGTTTTCCTAATATCTAAACTTAATCTGTCTTACTACAAATTAAGTCCATTACCTCTTGTCCTATCTTCAGTGGATATGGAGAACAATCGATCACAGTCCTCTTTATAAGAGCCAATAACATATTTGAAGACTGTTATCAGGACCCACCTCAGTCTTCTTTTCTCAACGTGCCCAGCTTCTTTAACCTTTCCTCATAGGTCAGGTTTTCTAAACCTTTTGTCATATTTGTTTCTTTCCACTGGACTCTCTCCAACTTGTCCACATCGCTCATAAAGTGTGAGGCCCAGAACTGGATGTAATACTCCAGCTGAGATCTCACCAGTACCAAGCAGAGCAGGACAGTTACCTCCCATGTCTTAGATACAACACACCTGCTATTACACACCATAATGATATTAGTTTTTTTTCCCCAGAAAGGCATCACAGTGTTGACTCATATCCAATTTGTGATCCACGAAAACCTCCAAATCCTTTTCAGCAGTTTTACCATCTAACCAGTTATTCCCATTTTGCAGTTGGGCCAGGTATAGCGCCCCCGTCCAGGGAAGTGAGCTGCAGCCTAACCAAGAATTAACAAAAGCTTCAAAATACATTTTGAATAATTTTTATTGATATATATATATACAGATTTAAGGACAATTTGTGATTTTATTTAAATGTAACAATTCACTCTCTCCAAAAGAAAAGTGCAATGCCAGCAAGTTTGAAGAATGTAATGCAGAATGAGTCTCTTGATATAGCTAATAGTGCCTCAAGAAGTTGCCTTGTTAACATGGCATTTTACATCCCTACTTTTGTAAGGGCCTTGATGTGGTAACCACTGCTTGGTGAGGCAGTGTCAGGATTGTAGCAATTAAGCCCAAGCTACATGGAGGATGCAGGGGCTGGGAATGGGGCATGCAGCCTGTGCCTCCCCAGCCTTCTCCTCCTTGAGGCAGGCCCCATGCTGGTTCATGAACGGCTGCCCAGGCCCAAGCCTGCCTGATGCTATGCCCTCAGCGCGGACCCAGGTAGCAGTGGCAGCGGTGGTGGCTCCAGCTCCAGGGTCCCACTGCTGCTTCTTCTTTACTAAAAATAAGGTAAGTTTTTAACAGCTATTAAATTATACATTGTGCAGGAGTGGAAATGACTACTTTGTGATTTGTTCCTCACCTGTCCAAAAAGTCACCCTGAGTGACACAGCACAAATCTGTGCCATTGTCCTCGAGTGGCGCATTTGATTTTTCCTTCCTAAAGGAGGTACTTTGCATTTGTCTTTATTGAATTTGATTTTGTTGATTTCAGAACAATTCTCCATTTTTTTCACTGTCCTTTAGAATTCTAATCCTGTCCTTCAAAGTGCTTGCAATCCTTCCCATCTTGGTGTCATCCATATTTTTAAGGAAGTTAAGTATATTTTTAAGGAAGTTACATTTTAGCTGACATCAGAGCTCCAAAAACAGCAACACTGACAGCAGTAACAATACTTCACAGCACTAACAACACTGGGAAGGACAAACTGGCTCCAAAAGCAATTTTCCAGACATACTATAAAGGCTATTTTATTTTACTGTTTGTTTAATGCAGGCAACTGAGCCATATGGAGTACAAGATAACCTCTTCCCCACAGATTTTACAGTCGAAGAAACAGTGACCAGACCTTTAGATATTCTGGGAAGCCTCAAGTCACATTAATATCGAGGAGAATTTTGGCTGCTTTGCACCTCTGAATTTTCGGATTAGGCACTATTTGAAAAAAATAGACTAAAATGCATATTAAATATTCAGTATGTCTATTCTTGCTTTCCGTATTAGTATGTTTTCTAAATAGATTTACGTTTTATAAAAAAAAGTTTATTAATTCAGGATATCTAAAAAGAAAACAATACAATAGCCATTCTGTAAAGGAGATAGAACCACCATAGAACAGATTTTCCAACCGGTTTTATGGCCAGGAAGACCTCATTCAGGCGCATGGTGGCGCTGTTGACTAAGAAGGGGAAAGATTACAACAGGCGATCCTGGAGTCATAAGGCTAGAACGTAACAGGACCAGAATGCAGGAGCAGAGATACGGGTGCTTCGCCTGGTATCGCTGAGAAAAACAAAATTATAAAGGCGTTGAATTAACTGAATCCGTAGAAAGGAAATATACAAGCTAAAGTAAATATTTCGGAAATCAGAATTCTGCAATGAATTTCCACTAGTGTCGTTATTTCCCGATCGATGTCTGTGTGTTCTTTCCTATTAAGAATGGCGGATAAGAAGAGGAGAACAACAATCAAAAGGCAAGTCGCTTCTCTCATTCTATTTCTTTGCGTGTGGGCCCTCGAATGCGAGACGGTTCGCTATTCTGTGCCTGAGGAAATGGAAAGCGGGTCCTTTGTGGCTAATGTAGCAAAGGATCTAGGGCTAGACCCGAAGAGACTGTCTGCTCGCAGGGCCCGTGTGGTTTCCGAAGGCAGCCGCCAGCATTTCCAGCTAAACAGCAACACCGGGGACTTGTTTATTAAAGAGAAAGTGGACAGAGAGGAATTATGCGGGGAAGCGGAGCCCTGCATGGTGCAATTTGAAATAATCCTGCAAAATCCCTTACAAGCCTATCCCGCTGAGATAAGAGTTTATGATATAAACGATCATTCTCCAGTATTCTCAGACAAGGAATTTATTTTAAAAATCCTGGAAACGTCTGACCCTGGGTCTCGATTTCCCTTGGAAAATGCCCAGGATTTAGATGTGGGAAACAACAGCCTCCGGAACTACAGCATTAGCGATAATAATGACTACTTCCATATTTATACGCGGGTTCGGAGTGACGGCAGGAAATTCGCAGAGCTGGTGCTGGATAAACCACTGGACCGCGAGGAGCAGCCGGAGGTGAGTCTAGTGCTCACGGCCGTGGATGGCGGCTCCCCCCCGAGGTCAGGCACAGCACAAATCCGTGTCATTGTCCTCGATGCCAACGACAATCCCCCTGTGTTCTCTCAAACCACTTACAAAGCTCGAGTTCTGGAAAACAGCTCCAAAGATTATCTGGTTGTCACTGTTTCTGCTACTGATTTAGACGAGGGAAATTATGGGGAAATATCCTATTTTTTTAGCCAGAAATCCAAAGAAAACAGTAAAACCTTTCATATAAACCCAGTGACAGGGGAACTTCGACTCACAGGCCAATTGGATTTTGAAACGATTGAAACATATGAGCTAGATGTTCAGGCCACAGATGGCGGGGGGCTGTTTTCCCACTCCAAAGTGCTTGTGGAGGTGCTGGATGTGAATGACAATCCCCCGGAAGTTAAAGTAATGTCCCTCACCAGCCCCATACCTGAGGACTCCTCGCCTGTAACAGTGGTGGCGCTGTTCAGCGTCAGAGACCGGGACTCTGGGGACAACGGGAGAACAGTCTGCTCCATAGAAGATGATCTTCCATTTTCTTTGAAAACAACTTTCAAAAATTCCTACTCTCTAGTGACTGAATATGTGCTTGACCGAGAGAAAGTATCGGAGTATAACATCACCATCACAGCCAGAGATTTGGGAACTCCCAGACTCTCCACTGAGGAGAGAATCGTCGTGAAAATATCAGACATTAATGACAATTCCCCAGAGTTCAGTCAAACATCATACACTATGTATGTCCGAGAAAACAACGGCCCAGCCGTCTTGATAGGGAAGGTCAGTGCTTTTGATTCGGACTCAGAGCAGAATGCCAAAGTGACATACTCTCTATTGCCTGCCGAGGTAGGTGGCCTTCCGCTTCTCTCCTATATCTCCATAAACTCGGAAAATGGGAATGTGTACGCTCTGCGATCCATGGATTATGAACAGATAAAAGAGTTCCAGGTCACTGTGAGAGCTGCAGATGGCGGGTCCCCTCCACTGAGCTCTGAAGTCATTATCCGAGTTGTGATAACTGATGAAAATGACAACGCGCCCTTCATTTTATACCCTCTGCAGAACAGCAGCGCCCCAGCTAATGACCTAGTTCCCAGATCGGCGGAGGCGGGTTACCTGGTGACGAAGGTGGTGGCTGTGGATGGGGATTCCGGTCAGAATTCTTGGCTTTCCTATCACTTGTTGAAGGCCACTGACCCAGGTCTCTTCACTGTGGCTTCCCAAAATGGTGAAATAAGAACCACGAGGCTAATAACAGACCGAGATACGATGAAGCAAAAACTCATTGTGCTTGTTAGAGACAGCGGAGAATTGCCCCTTTCTTCATCTGCAACTCTGAACATAGCTCTAGTGGAAGGCTTTTCGGACGCATACATGCAGTTTACAGATGTAGCTGTGGAAGAGGAAGAGAATGGCACATTAACTGTGTACTTAATAATTTCCTTGTGCTTAGTATCGTTTTGTTTTTTTATTTCAGTGATAATATTTATAATTATCAAGCTTTATAGAAGAAGGAATTATGGAGAAAAATACATGTCTGCTTCTGGCAATTGTTGTGGTGACAGCAACTTCCAGAATAATTTGGTAGATATAACGGGTAACGGAACTCTGTCTCACAGTTATCGTTATGAAGTCTGCTTAACATCTGGATCAGGAAACAGTGAATTCAGATTCCTCAGACCCATTATCTCCTCTCTTCCACCTCAGCATGGCAATGCTGGAACGGACTCTGGAAAAGAACAGGATCTTCTTACTAACTTTAATCTGACCATGGATATGAAATCAGCGAACCAGGTAAAATTAACTTCTCATTCTCTATAGTTTTTTTCTTATTTTTTTTATTATTGATTTAACATATGCCCACATTTAACCATATTTAAAGAAAACATCATAAATATTTCACAATTATTCAGAATGCTACTTTTATGTTCTATTGGTTCTTGCAAATGAGTTTAGTGTTGATCTGTATATATTTAATGTTTCGTAGTCTGTGTTTTGATTTAGAAACGTTTGGAATATTAGATATCTTCAGAGACAAGTACCGGATAGTATTAATATACTATTGGTCCATTGAGTATGCACGTTATAAGGAAATGATTAACCTCCTAATCTCTTTTGGGGAAATATTGTCCGAGTTGTCCACCTCTCCTCGTTTGGGGAAATATTCTTGAATATTCTAGTAGGGATAACTGGTTTTTGTCTTTGATCAAAGACTCCTGGTGTCATTAAAGAAACAGACTTTGTCAGAAGCGCGGTTTAACAGGGAATTGTAAATGATAAATTAATGCATCCAGCTATTTTCCCATTGTTATTGTTACTGTCACCCAGGACCGAATTAAGGCAAAGGAGGCCCTAGGTATACTCTATGAGGGCCCCATAACACCACTCCCACACTGTGACCCCACCCACATGGGAAGGCTCTATCCTCCTTCTGCTGGGATGAGCTTGTCTTTCGGGCTAGCTGCTGTCTCAGGAGTCAGTTGCACTCATTTTATCTTTCTAGAGTTTTCCTTGCATACATGAGAGCTGGACATATCTTTAAATGAAAGTCGAGACTCTGATCTAATGACGTGACTCTAAGAGCTAGGGCCCTAGGAGTCTCTGCTGTTACTCGAATTATGTCATGTAGCCAACCTTAACTTTGTCATATTGCTTTATTCTGTAATGGAAATATCTTGATGCATACTATTGACTTTATATATATTGTGGATTGACTTTATATATACAGTGGATGTATAGTGCATTTGTCGAAAACATATTGAAAGCTGTAGAGTCTCAGGTTATATTGAATCATCAGAATTCTATCTGGTTTTTAACTGATGTGTTAGTACAGCAGAAGACTATTTTAATGAATAGAAATTGAGCAACTGATCTACTTGGTGTTGTGAAATTAATTGATGGTGTTGTGTGTCCTGTGGTATAGAACTTGCAAGTTTGTATTTACACTATATTTTGCAGTGTTTTATATATTTTTGTAATAAATAATGTAACTTAAATTAATATTAAGGATTATTAGAAATAGATTCCTAGAGTCAGAAATTGAATTTTAAAATCTTTCATTATGTTGTTATCTTGGCCTTTGCAGGTAGTTTTGCAATTTATTTCTGGTTTGATAACACTAGGTGATGAAAGATTATATGGCAGATTTCCAGACTTTTTCTTCTTTTGCTATTGTAGAATGTTTCTAAAATGTGTGTGTGTGTGAGTTGGATTCAATTGACATTCACTTACAACCTACCTTAACTCTTGCTTTAACATATTTTTTATTTTGGAATTTTCTGCTCTAGAAAGGTTTAAAATCAGGTTGGCATATAAAAGCCATAAGAGTGGGGACCTGTTCTGACTCATCTTTAGAAATCCACTGAAGTAGGGCTGCTGTCCTAAATATGTTAGCAAGTTGATAGGAAGCTTATGTTTTGAGGAGATTTATACATGACACAGAGTAGAGGATGAATGGGTGTGAGGATGAACGAGGGGGAGACATTATTCAAAGGGAAATCATTAAACATTTCACATTATATATATAGAAAATGTTAAGCGTTTACAGTTTTAAAAACAGTGAAAAGACCATTTTTGCCAGTCCACCTTTATGCTTTCTATGACCCGTGGGTGTTTCCCATGACCCAATCCCATATCTGTCATAACCCACTGCACTCCCATTTCTTTCATGGTCCTCTGAATTCTTTTTCTGTGATTACCTTCCTGACCCTACCTCCTGTCCCTTGTCCCCTTTCCATTCCCCCTATCATGTTTGCAGAAGGTTATGATTTGCTGGTTATGATTATGCTATCTGTATGCATGTATCATTTTTGTATTAAAAGTTATAAGTATTAGCTTTATACCTGGATTTCAAATGTTTGCCCCTGGGGTAACACCCATGAAGTAATTAGCCAGCATATCTTGGAGGGACTATTCAAATTGAGTGGCCCATCGAAAGAACATTTAACTGACAATGGACCATGGGAGATGCCCATCTACACTTAATGGAATTTCCTGCTGTGACTAGGCAAAATGCATGGACATGTGACTTGCCCGTGTAACTCCAAACTCCATCTTGTTGCTGTGATTTTCCACAATAAAAACAATGGAATGCCCTCCACATGGCAAAAGCTATAAAAGGCCCTGGAAACACCTCCATTTGGTTTTCAGTCCTGCTTCTTACCTCTGGAGGAACTTTGCTACAAACTGAAGCTCTGAATGACTCATCCAAATTGTGGATGTACTCCAGAGACTTGACTTAAGCCAGCAGTTTATTCCATCACTGCTACAAGCCTGAACCAAGAACTTTGCCATTACTGGATATAATCGATTCCTTTAACCAATTTTAACTCTCATCTTTCTTTCTTTCTTTCTTTCTTTCTTTTTACAAATAAACCTTTAGATTTTAGATACTAAAGGATTGGCATCAGCATGATTTTTGGGTAAGATCTAAGTTATATATTGACCTGGGTGTATGGCTGGTCCTTTGGGATCAGAAGAACTTATTATTTGATGAAATGGGTTGTAAAGAACCACTCATCTCTGAATCCAGTGTTTTTGGTGGTGATATAAGAACTAGAATGCCTGAGGAAACTGCCTTTATGTTTTCTTGTTAGCCAGTATGGTGAAACAGGAATTTACTTTTGTGGCTGGTTTGGTATATCTTATAAAAGAATAACCATAAATTCTGGGTTGTGTTTGCCCTATTTCTTAGCGGTTCATCCTGAGTTTCGATGAATTTCTTCCCCATTAATGAGTTTCCTCTTGTAATGTTGAGCAGAGAATTTTCTTTTATTTCCATCCTTGGGGAAGGGAAATTCATGAACTTGTTCGGGTCCATGTTCCATGAGAATTTGCCGCACACTGTCATCACATCTGGGCCATAAAGCTGGGTCCCCATACTGTAACTTGTTTGTAACTTCCTCATCCTTTCTTCCTTCTACTTAATTTACTTCAATTCCTGCATGTGTCTCTGAAGGTGAATAAATTTTCTCCACTTCCATATCAGTCTGATGCTGTGAGCTGCCTCCAGCTAGAAGTAAGTTTCCATCATCTTGAGTTTCCAAACTGCTTTTTTAAGGATGTGAGCTACCATCATCTTGAGGTAATATCCCTTCGTCTTGATGTTCCAAACTGCTTCCATGCGGATGTGAGCTAACCTCCTCTCCAAGTAAAATTCCTTCATCTGGATGCTTCCATGTTTATTTGGATTAAAGAGAGGATATTGCAGGAAGGATCCCTGCTGTTTTGCTTGGTCATTTTCCTTCTCAGCCTTTCGTTTATGATACTCAGCTCCTGAGGGTTTTCTTTTTCCTCTTTCTGCCATGGGGTATTTGAATATTGTTATGTACTGTGCTACTGACTGCAAGCATTATAGCATTAAGGATGGCTGACGCACCCACCACATGGTTGGCGATTTAAACCACATTGCAGCCATCCCAACACGTCTTTTCACTGCTTAAAGGTTCAGTGATTAGTAACATACACTCACTTACCTATTAAAACAGTTAGTTACAGTGTTTACACGGAAACAAAATTACCTTTTTCGACATTATAACCCGACACCGGTTGTTTGGAAAGTAATCCCCTTCCTCATGGTTGCCCGCTTGGAGTGTGATGTCATCACTTTCGTAGTCTATTAAGCGTTAACACTGTTACTTTTCTTTTATGGACCTTATTTATTACATGTGAACCAGTTATAACAAAGAAAAGTTCATAATTATACTGCCTGATAATAACGCTATGGTTTAATAAAGCTTAAAGATACTCACATTTTGGATTTATAATGCTGAAAGACGTTATTCTTTATTCTTTGGCACCAAGAAACACAATTTTCCACAGTATTTGTTTGATTCTTAACCATTTACCTGCGATGTGTGTTAAAATGTATGACATGTATCAATGTCAGACATGTATCAACTCGTGATATCTCTGCTTTACATGAATTTACGGCTATTTGACCTTGATGTATATTCGAGTTAGGTGTCACTAGCATTGCAGCTCTTGCCGCTGGTGGATGTGTTTCACTGTGGCTGAGTTATTGCTTATCAAATTGCAGAGTGGGTCATCTTGACCCTATGTCGCAAATTGAAAAAAAATTTGCTAAAATATTATTTATTTTTGCAGTAAATAAAATATTTGACGTATTAATAAATCCTCAGAAATGTAGAGAAATGAATTATAGGCACACGGGAATTGAAATAATGACATCTTCATTATTTTATTTACTTCCGGTTATTACGCCTGGTGGCACTGCTGCC